ACACGAACCTCGGGTGCAGGCAGCACCTGTCTGAGAACAATCTGGCCCCAGGTCCGAAAAGAAATGGCTCGCAGACAAGGCCATTCCCGTCAAAAAAAAATAGATCCCAGGACATAGGAGGTTGGGTGAGGTCAAGGTGGGCGATCCAGCCGAACGTGAAAAGAGGATGGCCTTCCCCTGCCTCACGCGCCTGTCTGGTCAGTTGGCCAAGCTCCTCGTCCCTAACCTCCTGGCTATGACTGCAGACCCAGATCCTGTGCCAAGTGGTGTCAGGGCGGCCACAAAACTCACAGGCTGGGTCAATGTTCACTCCCCACTTCTGAAGCTGCACGCGGGACGGGTGGGAACGAGTGAACATCTGCCTAAATAAAACCGATTCTCGCGTACTAGGTTCGAGCTTGGAGGAGGCTAGGAGGCTAGGGCCTTCTTGGGGAGTTCCCACCAGAGGCCCCTCTCCACCAAATCTCCCCAACCAGGCTGGGCACCATCGAATTTCTCACGCACAACTTGCTGAACGAGCTTGTTTTTAAACTGGCCTGCAAACAGCTCCTTCACATACGCTGGACTGTGGGTGGTTAGGACAATCTCAACCCCGCGACAGTCAATAAACTTTGCTGGCCCCAGGGTTTCCCAGCCCACTTCTTGGAGCCAGATGATGCAATCCGATATAGGACCTTTGCTTTTCACGAACCACCTCTTATGGGGGGCTCCTGCAATCCTAGCTAATGCAGCGTTACATGTCTGTGACAAGATGTCTGCTCTCAGAGTGTCTTCGTGCACATGCTGGTCCTCGTGGCCCAGGCTGGCTGAGAGCATCCATCATTCTTCGGCATAGCGGACCAGTGGCATAACAGACACATCCAAAGGGTCGTTGGCCCCAGACAAACACCACACCAAATCCGTCGAAGCACCTCTCAACGCTATGCCACTGGCCTTGGCGCCCACCCCACGTAGGGCATGCACCTGCTTGGGGTTGAAGAGAACAACCTCTCCCCCGTACACTAAAGACGGCTTCAATTTTGTCTGAAACAGCCTGCCTCGGGAATTACATGTGCCTTGGAAGCAACTTAGCCTCCGTCGCCGTTTGAAGAACTTGACAAACCGTTAGGCCCTGGTCCTCAGGACCTTGTTGCCTCTGCGTGGTTTGCCCCCCCGTGAAATCGATACCTAAATGCGGCACGGCATAGTCGGCGCCCCCTCCCAGGGATCCAAGTCTCATCTGGGCCTGGCGGAGCAAGGTTCCGCTCGTGGCCGTCATTCCGAACTTGCCTACCGCCAGCGGCAACCCAAGAGACTCTTGGAGATACCTGGTCATACTGCCAGCAATGCTGTACATGGTGTCAATGACCCACTTGGCATTCTTGCCCCAAACTTGCATAACCAGGTCATCTATGTGGAGGCTTTGTGCAGCGCTGTCAGCCCAGTGGGTTGCACACGCGTCCATTCCTGGCTTCAAAAACAGCTTAGCTTCGTAGGTGGCTGTGCTGCTGCCTGCAACTATCCCCCGAGAGGCCCAAAGGGCCGCGCTGACCATGCCTTCATAGCTGAGGACCCGAACCCAACCGTAAGAGGCAAGGGAGAAGTCCAGGAGGTCGAGGGGGTACATCATTTGGCATGCCTTGTCGCGCAGGCCGTCTCGGGGAACGTGCTCATAAAATTGTTTGATGTCCCACAAGAGGTGGAGAACGTGAAGCTTATTTTCATTCCCCCATTCCGAGTCTGACGGGGAGCGCCGCTGGGTGGCAGAGAACTGTCCCCCCATCCCGAAATCCGCCTCCCAATCCCGAGTCTCTCCTTATTAACAGCGCCGAAGAGACGCGGGAAACTTTTGAAATGCCCAATCGGGCGCCTCGGGTCCCCTGGGCCTTCCTTGGCCATGAGGTGAACGTCTAAACTGCAGATTGATTTCGGCCCGTTGCTGACTAAACTCTTAAAGTGAAACAGGAGCGAGACACAGTACAAGGCCCTGTCGTGCAGCAGCGCGTAATGTCGAGGGTGAAACCCGTCAGGTTTGCACGTGGCGTCTTTAAATCTCCGAGAACAGGCCCTGATATGGTCAATGCTGAACAGCCCTGGGACCTCCGAAGGTGGGCCTTCCAGGGGGACTTGATATTGGGGCTGCTCGGAGGCCTGCCACGCCTCCTTCCAGATGCGCACCCGGGCTTCGAGGCGGGCCCCCACCGAAAGGGAAGCAAGAACCTGAGTGGCCGAGGAGAGATTCCCTTCCTTGTCAGGGCGCACTTGAGGTTTCCCTTTGAAATACCTGTGAGCCAGCTTGGCCCCCCCTCCATGGCTTTGGTGCACCAGTCCTTCCAGCGTCTTCCACAGCAGACACGGGGGGAGGGGTGGAGCGAATCCCGAAGATGCTGGACGAAGGTGACCACGTCAGGCAAAACTTCCCGCAGCGAAGCAGGGGCCGTGAGGCCGAGAGCTCCAAGATAGGCCAGGAAGGGGTGCCCAAACTTGGCCCCAGCTTGCCAAAACATTCTAAAGGGGCCTTTTTTCAGAGGCAAGTCCGCCAGCTGGCCCAGCAGGCGGTTGATGTAGTCCTTGGGGTACTTCTCTGGGTTGCTGAGTAGTGTCTGTAGCTCCATAAGCCGATTGACTGCCCAGCCCATACATCTCTGAGGTTGTTCGCACAAGTGAGCCTTCGTGTAGAGAACCTGGGAGATGGGTTTCATCTGGAATTTGCGCGGGGCTCCTCCTCGCAGCCCAGGGCCTTCCACACCCGTGACCTGCTCCAGCTCGGTCCAGGCATTGTACGCAAATTCGTCATAGCAAGAGTCCAAGATATTTTGAGCATCCACACGAGCTTGCCCCCTCAACTGAATGTGTGGGGCTCCAGGCCCCCCCAGGGTATCGAGAAGTGATTCCATTTTCCCAATCGTAGTATCGTAGCAGGGCGGGGCTGCTGGTGGTCCAAGCCTTTGTTTCGTCGGAATGTTCTGATACTTGGCTGCCACCTTCACCCGCACCTCTTGTGTGGCCAGTCGGATTCGCATCTGTACTGGGAAATGAACTCCACTCGGAATATCATAATGTACTTTGATTGACTCCACCAGCGGCTCGATGGTGGAGCTCATGCAAAAGAAATCGATCAGGCTCTGGTTCCCTCCGCTGCTGAACGTATATCCAGCGCTGGATCTGAATGTCCCACTCATAGCTCCCCAAGGGACTTGAGCCAACACGTAATCTGGGTGAACATTGAAGTCTGCCCCCATGACCACTGGGAACGTGTGGTGCGCCCAGTCCTTGCCAAAAGCTTTCCAAATCTCGAGGTTCCTTGCAGACAAACCCTCGCCGTCGTAGAAGTGTGCTGCGTACACCGCCACGGCTCCCATCTCTCTAAGTTGAATGAACGCTCGCACAAGTCGACCTGGTACGAGCTCCGCACATCCCATTGCCCAGGCAGGAATGTGCCCACGCACTAGGAGGACAACCCCACCGCTGGGTCCTCCCCCTTGTCCTTCACAAGCTTGGGTAGAAAATGGTCGCCACCCCGCAGCCTGGATACTTTCCATTGCCTGCTGGTGGCGCTCACCTCGAAGTTTAGTCTCCTGAATCATGATCACATCTGATTCGATATTTACTCTCACATCCAAGAGCGACCCCCAACATCCACTGTTGAGAGTCACGAAATCGAAACACTGCCGTTTGTTAAATCTCCTGTCCCCTTGCCGCCGCCGCTGCGGCACCCTGGGGCGTCCCAGGCTGCGCCGCGCCCGCTGGCACCGCCGCTGCTGGCTCGACGCGGTCGTAGGGCCCGCTGCGGGCGCCTCCTCGACCTCCACCGCCGTCGCGGGAGGGAGGGGCACCCTGGCGGGCCCGCGTGACCGCCGCAGCCAGCTTGGCGGCCAGGGCGCGCTTCTGGGCCCGGTCGAGCTCCTTCGTGATGTCCTCGGCCTCCAGCACGGAATCGAAAGCCATTTCGTCCACGTCCATAGTGCTGCCCATCGGCGTTCCTGGGACAGGCCCAGGTATCGGCACAGGCGCCGAGGCTTCTGCTGGGATTGCCGCCAGCTTCGCCTGCAGCGCCTTCCAGAGGTTCTGGCCCTCCTGGTCGAGGTGGCCGTTCGACGCCAAAGCCCCCAGCTTGTTGCCCCACTCCTGTACCTCTTTGTCGAAGCCGTCTGCACTGGGGGGCCTTGGAGGGGCCTGGGTTTGCGCCTTTGCCGTCTGGATCTCCTTTTCCACCGTAAGCTTCCATTTGCGTTCATCCTCAAGCTGCTCCTGAAGAACTGCGATGCTGTCCTCCAGGTCCTCGATCCGTTCTTTGCAGCTCTTGAGCTGCTTCTCCTTCTTTTGAACAAAAGACCCTGCCCGACGGAGCAACACACTTGCAGGGAGGGACTCATATCTTGCTTGGCGAACGTTACTGAGCACCGTCTGCAGCAGATTGACATCATCCTGTCCCAGCTGGTCGAACTTGGTACCTGCTCCATCGACGAGTTGGTGGAGGCAATCGGCTGCGCCCAAGGGGGCTTGGGGCGGAGAGCTACCTCCGCCCCATCTGCCTTTGCCTTTGCCACCACCTCCCTTGCCGCCTTGGCTCCCCTTGGTCTTCAAGTTCCAAGCTCCCCGGCCATTGCCCAAGCTACTGTGTTGCCACACTCCTTGAGCTGGTTGGTGAGGTTTCTGGGTAACTTGGCGGAGATCTGATCCACATGCGTAACACCAACGATAGTGCGTGGGGTTCCGACGGCAACCGCAAGAGCCACGCACCACGCTGCCACGAGAGAAATGAACATCCTTGCCTGTCATAGGCAAGCGACACGATGTAAAGAGGAGTACGAAGAGTGTCAGTGTAGGCGAGGGAACCTCACTCCAATACACGGACTGGTATGCTGCTGGGGCCGCTGCTCCCCTTGCCAAAAATGACCTCTGTCCTTGAGCAATGCCTCCGGACTTGAGCCAAAATGGCTATGGACCTCCTCCTCCTCCTCCTCCTCTTCCCTTTCCTCCTCCTCCTCCCCCTGCTCCTCCTCCTCCCCGTCGTCCAGGAGTTCCTGGTGCAGGCGTGTGTCCGCCGGCTCGCCGACGCGCTGTCGGCGCACATGGCGGAGAAGGGCGTCACTCAGGATCTCTGGCTAGCGGAGGGGAGGACAGAGGAAGACTCGCGGGCCCCCCAATTGTGTGGTGACCACACCGTGTGGTGAGTCAGTGGGTATTCGGGGTTACCGCGCGGTTTTGGGACTTTGGTCGTTCTCCGAGGATGCCTTGGACGACTGGGGCCTCCAGGGTCTCAAGACCGTGTGGCGACGGACCTCGCGGTGAGGTCGTTGTGACGATGTTGATGATGTTGATGATGATGATGATGATGATCTGCTGCTGCTGATTATGGTGGTGTTGGTGGTGGTGGTGTGATGATGATGATGATGCTGATGATGATGATGATGATGATGACGATGATGATGATGATGATGATGATGATGATGATGATGATGATGATGATGATGATGATGATGATGATGATGAGGAGGAGGATGATGAGGAGGATGATGATGATATGATGAATGTGATGATGCTGATGCTGCTGATGCTGATGATGCTGCTGCTGTTGCTGATGATGACGACGACGGCAGAAGAAGAGGATTCTGATCTTGGTGATGGTCATGGGGATTGTGACAACGACGGTAATCATGAGTGTGATGCTGTCTCATGCTCGGGTGTCGCCGCTGCTGTCGACGCCCTGTTTCCTTCGACCCCTTCTCGCCTTGGATTTGATGACGTGCCAGTTCCTGGGAAGCTGTGCGCCAGAGTGAACTCGGGGGTGTCGCCGACCAGGCACGGCTATCCGCACGGGCAGGCCCGAAGGATCGATGGCTGTCTCGGCGAGAAGGGGCAGGCCTTCTCAGAAGTCTCGGAAGTCCCCCAGCCTCCTGAGAAGTTGTCTGAGCCTTCCCCGAAGGCAAGACAAACTTCTCGGAGGGCGCGAGGGCTTCAGAGAAGTCCCGCCGCCTTCTGAGAAGGCCTTCTCCTTCTCACTTCCCCCCGTCGCTCGCCGCCAACTGTCAGCACCGGGCGGGGTGCGCGAGGAAACTCTGCTTGGCAAGCTGGCCACGGCGAGCGACTTCGCGGGGTACGTCGAGAAGATGCCCGAGACCTTCGAGAAGGAGGAGCTGATCTTCCTGGAGGGACGGCCTGCCGCCATGCCGGGGCCCTATTCCTGTCCGCTCGCTCCGTGTCCCCCTTTCGGCCTATTGTTAAGTCGGGCTTGTCCCTCTACAGGGGGAATGTTCAAACATAGTGAAAACACGTTTTTTTTGTTTTGTTGTTATTGTTGTTGTTGTTTTTTTTTTTTTTTTGTTTTTTTTTTTTTTTGTAAATATATGTGATATGTAATAATATAAATAAATTTAGAAAATAATTATTATGTTTGGGCATTTTTGGAGTATTGCCAGGGTATTTTTTCGTCCAATCCCCCTGTAGGGGGACAGGCCCGACTTAAACCTACTGCCTTCAGTCTGGGGGCTGCTGCTGTGCTTGCGGGCAAAGCTGAGGGGAGGGCTGCTGGAAGCCGTCCCGGGGCACTGATGATGCAGTCGCATTGCAGCCGAGGGGGTTTCACAAGATCGCCGGTTGTCTCGTGAACAACCTGGTAGAGGCGCGCCCATCTTGGGCTCAAGTTTCCCCCGAGGGTGCTGATCTATCGCTGGGGCCCGATTTTGCGGTGCATGCCGTCGGGGGCACTTGCGAAGGCCAGTGCTTCGCAGCCGGTGGTGCATCAATGCTGTGTATGTCCAGCCTCAGACAGATGTCCGCACCCATGGCTTGGCAGCTAGAGAGTTTGCTTCCTATCCTGCGTTTGGCACATCGGTCCGTGCCCTGGATCAGTTCACTGCTTGTCGTGTGCGACCGTCGCATCACGACTCCGTTTCGGGAGGGAAGAGAGAGAGAGAGAGAGAGGAGAGGGTGACGGTGTGGGGAACGGGAGGGGCATTGGGTTGGGGGTGGCTCTCGAGATTTAGAGACGCAGTGCTCTGCAGCGGCCAGCTACTGTGAGGGCACCAGCAGCTCACTCTGAGAGGGGACGGGGAGGGCGAGAGCGCTCCGATGCCGCAGACCGGCGCTTCAGGTTCAAGCAGATCGATGCCGACGGGGACGGCAAAATCAGCGCGGCGGAGTTCAACGCCATCTTCTGCCCCAAGGATGTGCCCTTGTTTCCTTGCAGGGGTCTCGCTGGGCCTAGTATATGGAGGCAACGGTGTCCGTCTCCAGGTGGACTTCTGAGAACCTCCCGCGACCTCTGAGAGGGTGCGTCGGGGGTGCATGGTTTCAAAGTGTTGATCCCTTCTGAGAATGCCCCCGCTCTCTCAGACAGTCGCCACCCTCGCCTCGTCCCCTCTGGCGATCCAGAGTCTCCGAGGACCTCTCTTGCACGGATCCTTCACGCTCCCGTCTTTCGGTCGGGCGCCGTCGCCTGGGGGCCTCTTGGGGACCGCTTCGCATGTCTGCTGCATTTACCTGCCATTTGCCAGCTGTCATCTGCCGAGTGCCAACGGGGCCCTGGATCTCCCCGCGATCCACTCGCGAGTCGTGCTCTCGCCTGAGCGCCAGCCCGAACCCGTCTGCCATACGCAGGCGGCCCTGTTGGAGGGCTCGTCTTGGGCCTCGGCGAGGGCTTCGGTGGCCTCGGGGCCGTCTTCGGCGGTCTGTCGGACGTTGGGGTGATCCTGGGATCCTTTCGAAGCAGTCTCGGGCGCGGCCGGGAGGCCACCATGGCTGACGGTGGGGGCCGTCTGCGGGGCCGCCTCGGATCAGTCGGATCCCTGCGCCGTAGGTGTCACATCGGAATCTTCTCAGGGTTCTGCGAGACCAGCCATCCCCAGCGACGTACAATGTCAGACAATTTGGCATCCGAAGCCCAAGACCCGTCGTGCCATCTAAGTTCCAGATCGTTATTGTTTTTTCTTTTTCCTTGTACTCTGGTTCGAGGGCCCAGACCAACCGACTCTTCTCCACCTTTCTGGGGTCGGTGCCCGGGTTCTTCATCACAATGAATACTCCGCCACTCTCCCCGACTGTCCTGACATATCCGACAATACCCTGAGGCGTTCGCAACGTGTGAGCTCGAACCTGTTCTCCCTCCGACGCCATCCAGGGCCCGTGTAGTTTTTGATGCTCTGGCAGCGCACCCAGTCGTCGTGACCCACCTCGTCGATCATCTCGTTGGCGCAGTCCTGGATGTTAGGTCTCTGCCACCTTGGACAGGCTGCCGATCGGGATCCCGGAAGTGAGAAGGCGAAGGCCTTCTCAGAAGTTTCGGAAGTCCCCCGGCCTTCAGAGAAGTTTTTTAAGCCTTCCCGAAACCAGAAAACACCTCTCAGAAGGTTCGAGGGCCTCTGAGAAGCCCCGCCGCCTTATGAGAAGGCCTTCTCCTTCTCATTTCCACCCCTCGCTCGCCGCCGAATCGGACACATCTCGCCCTTCGTTAGTATCTTGCGCCCTCCACTTGTAGACCTCGTCCCCGTGCTCGCGTGGCCGAGGCCCCGTGGTTCCCCCAAGGCGGCTGAGAACCACCCCTGCCGGCGCGTCGCACAAGCCGCTGGCGATTTTTTTGACCTGTAACGGGCTTGTTGTCCTCCCTTCCCGCCGGTGCCTCCTCCGAAGCAGTAGCGTCTCCTGTCCGAGGTGTCCTGCTGCCAGGCTCCCCATGGCCGCCACTCCTCCCTGAAGCCTCGCGAGCGTCGCCTGGATCGGCGGTGAGCGAGGGGGGGACGTGAGAAGGAGGAGGCCTTCTCAGAATGCGGCGGGACTTCTCTGAAGCCCTCGCGCCTTCCGAGCAGTTTTTTCAGTCTTCGGGGAAGATTTAGAGAACCTCTCAGAAGGCCGGGTGACTTCCGAACCTTCTGAGAAGGCCTTCTTCTTCTTCTCACTCCCCCCACTCGCTCTCTCTCGCCGCCGACTGGAGCTTCTTCTCGTCCGAATCCCGGGGAGAAAGCCGAGCACATGGCGGGTACGGGGGGAACGGTTGCGTTCGCAGAGCGTCGCGCTCCCTCGCCTCCCGTCGTCCCAGGCAGGTTGGGAGCACCGGGCGCACTGCACCCCGACGTGGACAAAGCGTGTCGCCGTCGCTGTCCGAGTCCGACCTGCAGAACCAGGCCACGCCCCAGGAGGCAATCACCACTGGGGACGCGGCCAGGCACCTGCCCGCTGCCTCGCAGGATCGCGAGGTCCCAGAAGAGTGGACCGCCGTGAGGCGCCAGATCACCCACTTGGCGAGCCCAGGCTGTGGTCTTGCGCTTTGCGCCTGCGCTTGACCAGGGCTTGCCACGGGAGCCCCGGCCGCGGCGCCATGCAGGTGCTTCACAGTGGTTATCCTCCGCTTCAACCTCTCCGTGACCTCGTCGTCGGCCTTCAGGCTGCTGAGGTCCTGGTCCCCGTCCACTCTGAGGTACTCGTCCGCCAGGACCCAGTCGACCCTGGAACGCCACTTGCCTTCTCCTGACTAGTTCTTCGGGCGCTGCCGGTCGCTGAGGCACCTCACGTTCCTCTAGGCCTTCCAGATCGAGTAGAGCCCCAGGCAGGTCACTTGTGCCGCTGGGCTGTTGATGAGCCTCTGGCATCATGTGATCCAAGACTCTGGCCAGCATCATGACCTCATTGCTCACGCTCGCCTTCATCAGCTTCTTCGACCTGAGCCACTCGCCCAGCTCCACCTCCGCCGTGCGGCCAGGTCGGTACAGCTTGTGCAAGACTGTCGGAGTGACACTCGTCCTCGTTCTTGAACTTTTCCAGGGTGGCCAGCACACCGTCGCGGGGGTTGCGGCTCTCGTCCTCGAGCAGCTGGATGCGCTCCTGCACCTCCGTGCCCCGGCCGACGGCCTCCCACGACCCGAGGCTCGAGCGTGCTGGGGACCCTGACCCCACGGCAGCTCTCCGGGACTCCTGCTCGACTGCGTAGCAGCGCGATGGGGGGCCGTCGATCTGGCTGGTGGTCGGGAGGGGTTCGGCGTCCGACGTGGTGCCGGAGGAGGCTGCGCTAGATGGCCCCGCCTCTGAGGGCCGCGCCGGCGCAGTGCCCTGCGACCCCGACGCCTGCGACGCGTGTGCGGCCCCCGCCAGCCGAGCCACCGCCCGATGCAGTTCTTGCTGCTGAGTGGTCGGCTCCGCGAAGGGCCGGCGAGGCGAGGGCTCCTCATCCGAGCCGGCCCCCTGGGTGCCAAGGATGTGCTTGCCGTCGTCGGTCGCTGATGGTAGACCCCTTCTCCGAGTCCGAATCTCCCGAGCGTCTTCCAGGTCCCCAGCTCAACGCAGGTAGGCCAGGACCACCACCCCCTCCGATCGCCACAGCAATCCACCCCAGGTCACCCGGCTCGTATTACTCCCAGGCGCCGTCGAACACGAACTGAACGTTCTCCTCTGTCTTACAGAAGGACGTGGCTGCGTCGTATCCTACACGTGCCAGCGACCCGAGTCGGAAGAAGCGCCACACTCGCCAGGCGACGAAAGGTTCTCTCCCCACGACCCGAAGCTTCTCTTGGTCCACTATGCCATGAACACGTTCCCGGTGCCACTGGCGACCCAGAACACAAAGCCCTTACGTGCACCTTCTTTCTTCTCCTTCTTCTTCGTCTTATTCTTCTTCGTGGGCTGCTTCTTTCCGGCCTTGACTATGCTGCCCTTGCCCTCGACTTCGAGCCTCGCGATGGCCCTCTCCGCCGCCGTGATCGCCGAGTCGCGCTCGGCCGCCGACACGCCAGGGTGCTCCGACCACGTCACAGTTGACAGTGGCTTGCTTAGCACCCTCCTTGTTTTCGAAGAAGGGAAAACACCATAAACAGAAACTTTCGGCGCTCCGCGCGGATTTCTTAGATCCGCGCTGAGGCCCCCTGGCGGCGCCTCTGGCGCCGCCTCTGGCGCCCTCCACGCGCCAGGGAGGGGGGCCCAGCTCGGATCCGAGAAATCCGCGTGGAGCGCCAAAAGTTTGTGTTTGTGGCGTTTTTTGTCCTTGTTATTTGTCCCTCACGTCGATCATCCGGCTCCTCTCCGTGGCGTCCACCGCGGCCCAAGAGCCCGGGTGCTTGGGCCCGACTCGTGACCAAGGGCATCACGGTGCCCGTAGGGCGGTTCCGGTGGCGAACGTGGATACGACTCCTTCTGGCCCAAAGTGCCATCGGGAACCTCGAGGCGCTCGCGCCCCCGAAGGTGGGCTCTCCCACCTCCTCCTCGTGGCAGTCGACCTCGGTGTTCGAGGCGAAGTGGGCCCCGATCCTCGGGCAGCAGGCAGTGCAGCTCCTGGGCGAAGATGAGAGCCGCGGCGACAAGCCACCCGCTCGCCGTGGCCCTTGAGATTGCGTCCGCGGGCGCGAGTTGTGAAAGCAGGCTGATGCCCCGTCTCTGGGCTCGCTGGAGCCCGCAACCTCCTGAGCCGAACAAGCTGCGAGCAACATGAAGGTGCAAGCGAGATGCACTACAACGCACACGCCCCCTCCCCAGACAGATGCACGCACAGAAGCTCGTTTGAAAGCAGATGTTCTGACTGCGACGCGCGGCTCATCCGTGTACCTGCTGGAAGCTCCCGAGAGGAATGTGAGCGGTGCTCCGGCGTGATCGCACCATCCCGACGATGACCGCCGGCCCCTCTCCCGTGCAGCTCCTCGGCGGGTGCGCGGCGCTCCCGCGAGCGAGCCGCGCCCCGAGAGCGACGGGCCCCCCCCCAGCTGTGCAGCCGCCCGGCCCCGTCGAGCTCCCGCGTCATGAGCGATGGGAGGTTTTATGGGCGACACGCCGGGTCTGCCCCACCGGCGCCCGGTCCGCGCTGCTGGCACGTCTGCTGGTGCGACGATCGAGGAGATCGACTGCATCATGGATTTACCCCGTCGTTGATTTTCCGCCGACTGTGCGAAACATGCGTAGAGTTTGTGTGGATCTTAGGGCACTCGACGTATTTTTCGTAGGTGCGACGACCAAATCAGTCTTGGGGCGACTCTGTGTTCGATCTCCTGTTCGGGACGAGGGGGAGTTCTCAAGAGAGAGTGGGGTGGAGAAGCCTCGGGTGCCCCCCGTTTTGGGCAGAGGGGGGCGCCGGGTGCCCGGGAGTGAGCGGCGCCCAGTACGTGTGCGTCAAGGACATCGCTGTCACCGACGCGTTCGAGATGGAGAAGAGCACCAGGAGCGTGTCGCATGTTTGTATTTTTGGCCGTCGCCGTACGGCGCTAGATGCGGCGCGGGAGGAGGGAGCGGAGGAGGATGGCGAGGCTTCCGGAGGAGGAGCATGGGGAGGATAGGGAGGAGGGGAATATTTCGAGGAAGCTGCAAAGAAGGGGGGGAGGGGGACGAACGCGGGAGAAGGAGGAGGAGCAGGAGGAGGGGGATGAGGATGCCGAGGAGGTGGAGGAGGAGGAGGTGGAGGAGGAGGAGGAGGAGGAGGAGGAGGAGTAGGAGCAGGAGTAAGAGCAGGATCAGGAGGAGGAGGAGGAGTAGGAGGGCCCGCAGCGGTCGGGGCCGGCGGGCGGGCGGAGGGGCGCGTTGGTCCACGCTGAGATCGCGCATGTGGAGTCTCTCTCCAGATCGTTTACTCTCTCTCTCTCTCTCTTTTTCTGTCTCTCTCCCTCTCTCTCTTTCCCCCCTCCCGCTCTATCTTTCTCTCTCTCTCTCTCGTTCTTTTCTCTTGTGCATTTTTTTTTTTTTTTTTTTTGTTTTCTCTCTCTCTCTCTCTCTTTCTCTCTCTTTCTCTCCCTCTCTCTCTCCCTCTCTCTCTCCCTCTCTCTCGTTCTCTGCCCGCCTCCTCCCTACCATCCGCCATGTGCCGCAGTGGTTCGTGCGGACGACAGGGACCGCGAGCGCACCGATGAAAATGATGATGATGATGATGATGATGATGATGATGATGATGATGATGATGATGATGATGATGATGATGATGATGATGATGATGATGATGATGATGATGATGATGATGATGATGGTGGTGGTGGTGGTGGTGGTGGTGGTGATGATGGTGATGATGATGATGATGATGATGATGATGGTGGTGGTGGTGGTGGTGATGATGATGAGGATGATGAGGATTATGAGGACGATGATGATGGTGCTGATGAAGAAGAGGAGAGTGGGGAGGAGGTGGACGGCCTCTCCTCCCCTCCCTCCTCGTCGGGCGCGTCGTTTTGCTCCCTTGTCGCGTGCGTCCGTCGTCGTTGTCTCTCTTCGCAGAGTGTAGGCGGACCCTGAGCGCTGCAGCTCCGTGGGTGACACCGCCCGAATGGAGTAGGCAGGGACATGATTAGGAGAGTGAGGGTGACGAGAATTAGGATGATGACGATGGCCATGATGCAGACGACCGTTATGGCGCCGCTGATGGCGATGTTGATGAAGATGCTGAGGGAGATTTTTCGGGCGCTGATGAGGATGAAACAGGTGGGGCGATGACGATGATGATGATGATGATGATGATGATGATGATGATGATGATGATGATGATGACGATGATGATGATGATGATGATGATGAGGATGATGATGAGGATGATGATGATGATGATGATGATGATGAGGAGGATGACGGTGATGGTGATGATGCTGGTGCTGGTGATGAGGCGATGGTGGTTGTTGTTCATGTTCCTGTGGTTGTCGTTGCTGCTGCCGTTGTGGTTGTCGATGCTGTTGATGTTGTTGTTGTTGTTGTTGTTGTTGTTGTTGTTGTTGTTGTTGTTGTTGTTGTTGTTGTTGTTGTTGTTGTTGTTGTTGTTGTTGTTGTTGTTGTCGTTGTCGTTGCTGCTGTTGAAATTTCATTTTTGAAGAATAGTTACTGTTGATCCCCCCTCGCCGGTGCATACTGTTTTTCTCAATCAAAGTGTGTCTCTCGACGCTCGCACCCAGTTTTTTGACAGGGAAAGTCTTCCTGCTCAAACTGGGCCCCTGGCGCCCCGATTGTTAGGGTCTACGCGCCCGATTTGCCCGCCTGTTACGGTCTACGCGCCCGATTTGCCCGTCTGGTGCTGCCACGTGTTTTCTGCTCCCAGACTTCCTCCTGCTATTCTCTGTCGGACTCCATCCTTCTCCCTCCCCCTTGTCCCTTCCTTCCATCCGTCCTCTATTCCCCTGCCTCAGGGGTTGCACTAAGTACACGTTGCATGTAAGAACGATATTCGAATACGAAGATGGCGGGTATCGAGGGTTTGGGATATACGTGTTGAATGACACACGAGCATGTCGGAGCGAACATTCCTAATGCTATTGTTGTTGTTGTTGTTGTTGTTGTTGTTGAATCCTCATTTCTAAAGAAATGGTTGTTTTCCCCTCCTTCCTGGTAACCATTGTATTTTTAAGTACAAGCTCCTCCCGGAGTTCGCACCCTGGCTGTTACAAGTGAAAGCGAGGTGCTACCAAGTTTGGCCCCTGGCCCCCGAGTTACAACAACAACGGCTCCCGCCTGATACTTCCTCACAATTTCTTCCAACATCGCACTCTCGCGCGGGACTTCCTCACAAGTTATGTATGGATCGCGCTCTGTCGTGGGACTTCATCCATCACAATCTATTCAGACGCCGCGTCTTCGACGCTCAGGAATCGCGCTCTCGCTTTGGCCTTTTTCGCGATTTACTTGGGAATCGTGCTATCGGTGGAGTCGAGGTTTCCTCGCGATTCAGGCAGTATTCAAGCTTCGGCAAGCCGCCTGCTCGACCTGGCCGCTTGGGCCCGCCTTCCCGACCCGCCCGTTAGGGTCCGATGGGCCCGTTTGTTTTTGCCACGTGTTTTCTAATCCCAGCCCCCCCGTGCTAATCCAGTGCTCCATCCTCTTCTCCCCCCCTTCCATCCGTCTTCTCTTCCCCTGTGTCAGGGGCTGCACCGCTGGCACGCGGCAGGTAACGAAAATATGCCCCCAAAGGGTTACGATCGAAACTGAAGAGGGCGGGTACCGAGGGTTTGAAATATACGGGTTGAAGGGCATGCGAGCAGGTAAGAGCGAACAGTCTTAAAATGGTTACTGTTGCTGTTGTGGTGTTTGCTGCTATTGTTGTTGTTGCTGCTGTTGATGTTGCCGTCGTCGTCGTCGCTGTCGCCGTCGCCGTCGCCGTCGCCGTTGTTGTTGTTGTTGTTGTTGTTTTTGTTGGTGTTATTGTTGTCGATGGTGTTGTTGTTTCTGATGTTGCTGTTGTTGCTTTCGTTTTTGTTTTTGTTGTGGTCGGTGATGCTATTGTTGCCATGGTTGTTTTGTTGTTGTTGATGGTGTTATTGTTTCTGCTGCTGCTGCTGTTGCTCTTGTTGCTGTTGCTGCTGCTGTTGTTTTTGCTGTCGTTATTGTTGCTGTTGTTGTTGTTGGTGCTGTTGTTGTTGTTGCTGCTGTTGTTGTTGTTGTTTTTGTTGTTTTTGCCGGAGTTGTAGTAGTAGTAGTAGTAGTAGTAGTAGTAGTACTAGTTGTTGTTGTTGTTGTTGTTGTTGTTGTTCTTGTTGTTGTTGATGTTGTGGTTGTGGTTGTTGTTGTTGTCGTCGTTGTTGTTGTTGTTGTTGTTGTTGTTGTTGTTGTTATGTGCTGTTGTTGTGCTGTTGTTGTGCTGTTGTTGTGCTGCTGTTGCTGTTGCTGTTGCTGTTGCTGTTGTTGTTGCTGTTAAACTCTCATTGCATGATATTACTTATTGTTGACCCCCCTCTCCGGTGACCTTTGTGTTTTTCCCCACGTCCTAAGTGGGTTTCTTGTTTTCTCTGCACACCCTCCGCGCAGGATCTCTCGTCCTCCTCCCTCTCCTCTGCTCCTCTTTGCTTCCTCCTCCGCATCATCATCACCATCACCTCACTCCCCACTCATCATCATCATCATCATCAGCATCACCATCACCATCGCACGATCACTCACCATCATCGGCATCGAACGATCATCATCATCATCATCATCATCATCACTACTCGCTGACTCACCACTTCGTCCCCATCATCATCACCACCATTTACCATCAGAATCGCACGATCACTCACCATCAGCACTCATCATCACCACCACATCATCATCATCACGTCGTCATCATCACCACCACCACATCATCATCATCATCATCATCATCATCATCATCATCATCATCATCATCATCATCATCATCATCATCATCATCATCATCATCATCATCATCATCAATCATATATCATCATCAAACACCGTCGTCATCATCCCATCACCATCATCCACCAAGAGGGAGCCTCGTCTGTGAGTGAATTGTGAGGAAGTCTCAGGCGGGAGCCCCCTCCCTATGGGGCCCGCAGATCATGTTACTAATCCGAGCGGGTCATCGGATTCCTGTAACTGTCGTCACTTTTGGGCTCCTCAGGTCTGAATTTGGAGGAAGTGTCAAGCGGGAGCCTCGTCTGTGAGTGAATTGCGAGGAAGTCTCAGGCGGGAGCCCCCTCCCTATGGGGCCCGCAGATCATGTTATTTATCCGAGCGGGTCATCGGATTCCTGTAACTGTCGTCGCTTTTGGGCTCCTCAGGTCTGAATTTGGAGGAAGTATGAGGCGGGAGCCTCGTTGTCAGTGAATTGCGAGCAAGTCTCAGGCGGGAGCCCCCTCCCTATGGGGCCCGCAGATCATGTTATTAATCCGAGCGGGTCATCGGATTCTTGTAACTGTCGTCACTTTTGGGCTCCTCAGGTTTGAATTTGGAGGAAGTATCAAGCGGGAGCCTCGTCTGTGAGTGAATTGTGAGGAAGTCTCAGGCGGGAACCCCCTCCCTATGGGGCCCGCAGATCATGTTATTAATCCGAGCGGGTCATCGGATTGCTGAATCTGTCGT